ACAACAACAACAACAACAACTACTACAACAACAACAACAACAACAACAACAACAACAACAACAACAACAACAACAACAACAACAACAACAACAGCAACAATAGCAACAAAGCAGAGAAAAAAACAACAACCTCTATGCTTATATGCACTCTCCCATAGAGACACAACACACCACCACCACCACTACAAACAACAAAGCAGAGAAAAAACCCCCCAACCCCTTTGCTTACATTGTACACCAGATTATACTGTTCCTTGTTTTGAATGGCCCCTGCTCGCTCGTGTCTCATGTTGTTAACTGTCTTCATCACGTCGACCAGACGCCGGGATTCGAACTGCCGCATGCACAGATCTAGGGCGATGAACGTGCAGGTCCTACCAGTTCCCGGACTGAAAGAAAATTCGAGTTTGAGTAAAGAGAAGCGAATGGTTGGTGGGTGCTCTGGTATAGTTTTCTCTTTCTTTCCTACAAACATCTTTCATCTTTATCTCTTCTTCTTCTTTTTTGATTGCGTTACTCCCTTGTAATACCTCTAATCTTTAGAACGTATAATATGACCTTATTCCTTATTGTGTTGAACCCCACCCCCAACCCCCCCCCCCCCCCCACAAAAACAAACGACTCAAGAGAAGAAAATCGACACAATAATTGCCTTTCAATGTAATGGAGAAGCAAGACAGAGGCAACGAAAAGAAGTAGGGCCTATCTGACGAACAAGCCACCCGCAGGCCGTACGTTATAGTCTTAGATCTAGGCCTACTATAATAATACTATAAGTCAAATGAGTAAAGTCAATTTAATTAGATGGTTTCTCTGTACTTTGTATTTACACATCCTCCTCAAACCTCACGCCGCATTCGTTGTAAATTTTCTTGTCCATCCACCCTTCCATCCGTCCATCAATTCGTCATTTATCGAGTTTAGTTTTTTTAATTTACTGATTGGTTTTAAAGACAACGCATATCTATCTATCTATCTATCTATCTATCTATCTATCTATCTATCTATCTATCTATCTGTCTGTCTGTCTGCCCGTCTGTCTGCCTGCGTGTCTGTCGATTTATAAGCCTGTGGCTGTCATGGCCTGTTCAACATACTACATGTATTTTGATAATTTTCTTGACAGGCTTATCAGCTTTAGTCACAATCTGTCGATTAATACTCATGTCTTGGAAATTTTTTAATGTTTTATTCCCCCATCGTTTTGATTTAGATCTTTAAGCAGTCTAGCCCTTTCTTCGACCCGGCCTGTCGGGGCCAATCTGAGTTTTGGCAGTGTGGGCTAGATATTCTAGACTGCATTTGTTTTTGGGAATAAAACATCCAAACTTGACAAAGTATCTCTTCTTTGTGTAGGAACAGAGCTCAGGTCTATTGCCCCCAAGGGCTAGCTTATACTACAGACACCGGAATAGACATTGTTTACACATATAAATATAGTACATTATGACCCCCCCCCCCCTTGACAGCTAGAAAAACAAATGAAGAAGTCTTGGTTGAAGCAAAGTACAGACGACAGCTTACGACGAATATACGAAAGCGACAGGCAAGTTCTTTGTAACTCTATGTTGGACACACACAATGCGGAAAGAAGCATTGGAGAAAATTGTAACAGCAGGCGAGTTTGATGGATAGAGAGGCAGAGGCAGAGGGAAGGCAAAGATACTGGACAAGTTGACAACATGGCTGGGAACAGCAAAGAACGACAGACACCATCGCTGCAACGCAAGAGAGAGTGAAATGGAGGTCCATGATTGCCCACGCCAGTGAGCAAGGCACCGGATGATACTGATGAAGTTGATGATCCCCCCCCCCCCCACTCCCCCTTTCCGGTTGCTTTTCCGAAATTTAATCTGACCTTTTACGCAAACACCATTTCTGATGCGCTTGTACTTGACTCATTCATTATTCAATTCTGTCCTTTGCCATGCCTATGACTGGCGTCTGTGGTGTAGCTGCTAGACGCTTCGCAGTCGCACACTGGATACCCGGGTTCGATTCCAGAGTGGGAAGAAAATTTTTATAGAGTATCTCAGTCTTTTTTTTTTTTTGGTAAGTGTTTTTACGGCGCTCGCAACTGCATAAGGTCATATGAGCGCGCGGGACACACCTAATATTTTCAGTTGGTACGAAATTTTGAATTTTGCCCGGGTGGCGGCCGAAGCCTACTCTTATCGATTTTAAATCACCAAGGGATCTTTAACGTGCGCAACTTGCACACGAGCCCTCCGAGATTTTTC